GCCCCCCCGCGCTCACAGCCGGGCTCTCCGCCGCACCGGGGCGGAGCCGCCCACACGCCGTTCCTGAGCCTGCAGCGACACCGTGCGCTGCTCCGCCGCCTCACACGCTCCCAACACAGCGCCCGCGCCACCGCCCTGATGATGGCCATCTCCTATGCTTTTCCACTTCCAGCCGTTCTCTTCTTTCATTTTAGACTTTGGGTTTTTTTTGGGGGTTTTTTTTTTGGTTTTTTGTTTTTTTTTTTTACTGTTCCCTCTTCTTTATCCATCCTGGTAACTCGCAAGAAGCATCCGGAGGCAGACAGCAGGAAAACGAAGCTGAATCCACAAACCCGACTTACGTGGCAGTAACATTGGACCGCAGAATACTCTAATCAAGGTGGAGTCTATTGACGACCAGCTTCTCTCAGCCATTAAAGGTAAGGTCATTGTCTACTGCTCATTTCTTTTGCTGTTGTTTTCTTTGTTATCTTCTTTTCTTAATTACCTCCTTGTGTCATTCCTTCATAGCATCTTTTTTGTCTTCTCCCACTCCTTTTATGTCCTCCTTTCTTGCTCTCCTCCCTTTATGTGTACAGTGGCAGTATCTGTGACATACCAGGAAACTCGCTCTTCCTTCCTTCCTGCCTGCCTTCCTGTTCTGTCCTTTTCCTTTCCTCCTCCTCCTTTCTGTGAGGATAGCATTATATGGCAGAGAAAAGCTCTCCTACATAACAACAGAATCCACAACAATCAAGCCTCCAGACACTTGCACGTGCGTGGCTACTACAAAGAACCCAAATCCTTCAAGAATACTGAAAAAGCAACCACAGTTTTCAAGTACTCTTCTTATATCTCAATGAAGAGCTGTTCTTCTGCCTCATTTTCCACTTGTACAATAAATGTCAAGCTCTCGTCTTCCCTTTCAGGCAGGCATGCACTGTCACAACAACACACCTAGAACCTCGGTATCCAGGGCCATGAGTCCCCACCAAACGCCTCAGCTCCATCAGCATGAGCAATCTGACACGCAGCCAGACTGAAGCCATAAAGATAACACCACGACATTTTCACCCAGAACATCCCCTTGACTCCCAACAGAGCAACTCCACGAAATGGATTGTGGTCCTTCCTCCATCCCTCCTGGCTGCCACACACTCAGGCTGTGCCTGGAAACAGCAGGAAAAGAACAAGTGCAGACAGTGGTGCTGCACTCATCCAATAGAGTCAACATTTGGTCAATCCAACATAAAGATGCCACAACTGAAAAGGAGTAAAAGTACATCTATCCCTTGTGATAGATTCATCTGCTTTTTGTGCAAGTGACTTACCTGTAACATCACTGATGTGTTGTTCAGAAAATGAAATATTTTGAAGACAGGAGTATTGGCTTAAAATTATATTTCCAGTTAACATTATCGGTTTTCCTGAGCAAGCTGGACAGAAGAAAATGACTCATGTTCTGAAGAAACTGGACAGTGCACAGTGTCCCTTATGCACTTCTATCACAGGAAAAGCAAGGAAGGAGGCTTGAAAGCTAAGGACATTCTCTCAAAGTGAAACTTAGCTCAGAAGAGCAGAGTAGACATCCTCCACACTGGTGAGAAATGCCCCAAATACCTGACAGTTGTCAAAATACAGCAGTCTGCATATTACTGACTTTTACCAACACCATGCCTATGTGAGAGAAATAAAACCCAAGCATGGGCAGGTTTGGTGAAAGGAGAGAAAAAATCCCTCAGGATCCCACTCTTCCCCTTCTTTTCCTTCCAAGGGCAGAGGTAACCAAGGAGAGGTTCAGAGGTGCTTCAGCAGCAGCATCCAAATTTCAAGAAGTTTCTCTTTGTGCAACAACATTCCAAACCAAAAGCAAGTAACTGAAGGCAAGCATGGCAGATATGTTCCAAACAACAATACCATGAAGAACAACATGAAGAAATACATGAAGAGCACCATAAGATATGCAGAACTTCTGGAGGTCCTGCCAGGATCCCAGGCAATCAGCATTGTGTGCTGGGACGCTTCCAAAGGTTTTCTACCAAAATCCTGCATCTCGTGCCATGGGAAATGACGTCTCCGCATCTAAGGAAGTGTTCTCAACCTTTACCCCAGTGATGCAGACCATACTCTACCCAGGATCTCCATTCCCATCAGTCCAGACTGTCCTCTACTCATGGCCACTCTCCCTGTGATACCTTTCAAGATCCTACTCTGTGCCACTTGCAGGACCTCTACCAGAACACTCAGACACTGCTTCACCTTAACATCATGCTCCAGCTGTAAACCCCACCCTGAACATGACCCAGGCCTTTGCATAGCCTCGTCCTCCCTCATCATCAGTGCTAGGATTATACAGAGGATTGCACAGCCATCCAATGTCTAGTAAACAGACTTCCCAGCTTTTTGAATTTCAAACTGAATGTTTTTGCCTTTTCAGCAACCTCATATAAAAATACAACCAAGTATTAGAGTTCTTCGAGATTCTGGAATTAGAGCTGTGAGCTCTGATCCCAGTCCACATGGGATTTTATTATTCTAGAGAACCACACCAAATGCTTATACACAACAGCAACAATGACATCAAATGGGTGGGAGAATTTCTACCACAGAACACCAGGGCTGTGCTGCTGTGCAGGGTTTGACGTGCATGCACACATATCTCAATACCGTGGTAACAAGACAACATCTCACTGCTAATGTGGCCACTGTTGCAGGTTAAAACTAGGGGAAGTTGCATGGGGCTGAGTCCCAAGGGCAGGAGATGGCATTTAGCAGTGTTTAATCACACACAGGTGGATTCAGACTTTCTGGCCTGTCCAGATCCCTCAGTAGGCTTTTGAAACAATGTGGCACTTCATGGAAATTTTGCAATAACATCGAACAGGACAGTGTTTTTCAAGCTGCTTCTCAGGCCAGCAACACAAATCCTGAACCAGGGGAACATGGGCGGAGGAAAAACAAATTTGCCCGTTTGAAACACTTACCTCACTCTTTCCCTTTTGCAACACTCATTTCGGGGCATATTCCTCGGCCTGAAACCTTATACTACTGAGCAAAACAAGAAGACACTTTGAAAAATGAACATAGGAAAAGTCCCTACTGCCTTCCCTATTATCTTAATGACTCCGTTGAAGAAACCAAAATGGGAACTTTTTCCTTGAAGCCCCAGTTGCCATCTTGCATCAAATCCCTTGCAGGGGGAAAAGAAAGGAGAAAGATTTCGAAAATAATCGAGACTACCAGTAACAAAGTTGGCATATAGAAGTGGAAATAAAGTGGTATGAAGTGCCTGGGGAACAGTAACCACCTGTTAACACCTGTGTGTCCTGGCACCCTTTCAAGCAAGCTCGGGTGGAAACGCTACACACCAGAAAGCAAAAGCATTGCCTCCGAACATGTCTCATGGCAATTGACATGATATCATTCACAGAGAGAGCCACACGTCCAGCAAACCTCAGCTACAGACCGTAACTAATCCGAGAGGTCATAATACATATAATTCCCACCCAAGGCGTATGCAAACGAGGCACGGACAGCCTAAAGAACCGGTCAAGCAACCGCAGGCGTAAAGGCTGTGGGGGCGGAGCCCAGTAGAAAATAGAGACAACCCACAGGGCGGGTGAGAAGGGAGAGAAAGGGAGGGACGTGGTGAGAGGCGGGCAAGGTAATAAAACTGACCGTGTCGAGGAAAGCAGACGGCTCCGGCTGCGTGTCCTTGGCCGCGGGGCCAGGCGGCGGCGGCGGCGGAGGGAAGTTGGGGCTGAAAACCATGAGGTCGCTCTTGCCCGCGCCGTCCGCCACGCACAGGCTGCGGCTGTGGCGCTGCGAGTACGACCAGCTGCCCACTTCGCTGGCGCACACCAGCGTCGTGGGCCCGGGCCCCGACAGCACGGCCGCCCGCGGCGCCCAGCGCGACGCCCCGTACAGCACCACGGCCAGCAGGAACAGGCTCGACACGGCGCAGATCGCCACCACCAGCCACACGTTCGTCGCCGCGCTCGCCGCCCCGGCGCCCAGCTCCGCGCCCGCACCCGCCGCCCGCGAC